GGTTTTACTCCCTTAACAGTTCTAGGGTTTTGGGGAAGGAGAGAGACGGCGATTTACACAGCTTTGTTTGTTTGGCGGAATTAGGGAAAGTACCAGATAAGCCTCCAAATCCTTTTAAAATTACTGTTTTGCCATTGTCAAAAAAAACGGTCCGGTCCGTTTTTCTGGTTTTCTATTTTACAACTTGTACAAATTTCATTAGATACACACACATAATTAAAACCAAATTGAGTCAAATCATCTCGGATTTAACCATCATGTTGTTTTTGATCGAAGATTGATAATCCTATGAATCTTGCTGCATCACAAATTTACACTTTAACCATCTATTTGGTTCTTCTCACCATTCACTTTTTGCAGCCCATTATTAGAGATTTTAGTGACAATCTTATCTTCAAAATTCTTTCATGAAAGAGGTGGAACCGGTTAGCTAATTTTGTATGATAATAACACTTTTTTTCTTCTTTTTAGGGAATTTGCAATGCTATAGAGAGTTTCCAAGGAAAAAGTCCAAGATACATTTGACTTGTTTTGGAAATGAGCCAAACTTAGATCACATACAATATTTTGATTCGCTATCCGTTGGAAATATAGCAAAGAAAGCATAGGCAATGAATGTTGAGAAACCAGATAACTGATGATAACAAATGTCGAGATAGAAATTTATAATCAAAGAGAAAGTTTATCCTCTAAAACATAGATAACTCAAAAAGATGCATAAAACAAAAGAAAACCAAAAACACCCAAAACCGATAATCCGACGATCCTTTTCGGCCACGACACTATGAGGCTGCTGTGTCACTCGTGCACCTTGCTTGATTTGCAAGGAACTTGGAACATAAGAACACAAAAGTGGATAATAATGTTTGTTTGTAGGTTCTCCAACACGCAATTCTTTGAAGTATCCGTCTTCTCCAATGATGTAAGCTACGTTGGGAGTGGGGTGGGGGTAAAACTCAGTGTCACTAAGAACCACAACGACCTTCTTCTTCTCGTCAATGAAGAAACTCCCAGCGCCAATCTGAAACTGAAGAACAGGGAGTGGTTTCATCTCAACCGCTAAGAACAACTTGTTCCACGACACATGTTTAGGCTCAATCTTACTCGTTACCCAAATCTCCATCCTCATTGAAAATCCTCGCTGAAATAACACTGCAAGCTGCTCCTCTCTAACGCTAGAGAAAGTCACAGTATCGAAAGTGTGAGAGTGAAAAGGCAGAGGCAGATGCGGTCCAAATCTCTCGCTTGTAAAATCAAAACATATCAAGAAATCAGGAAGCTCTCTTGATGGTGTCCTATACCGTCCTTCTACATACCTCTCTCGAGCAAACCAGTAAGCATTGCCCTCTAGAGTCACACCGCGTTGAAAATACAGTATTTCCCAGTCGTGGGCGTCATGAACCGCCTTCCATGAATCAGAGTCAAAACTGTAGATTTCAAACTCGAAGAATCTTCCAAACTCATAGAATCGGGGCTTCACATCATTAAACCTCAAGATTTTGTGGCTATGAATCGAGTTATTCTTCTTCTCGTATCCGAGAGCGTACCTGTCACACGGGAGGTAAGCATTTCTAGGTTTGATCCACCTTGTTTGCCCACAATAAGGATTCCAAACCAAAGCCTAGATTTGATGTCTTGGTTGATGCATAACAATAAACCATCGCAGTGAAAGACTTGAGATATTTCGACTGGATTCTCAGCGTCTAGGCTAATGAGTTTACCTCTAGGGTTTATAGATGGACCATGGAGATTGACGCTCATTAGATAAACATTAAAATCCATCGTCATGACCACCATAGACGACTCGTTTTCCTTTGCTGCTATTGCTTTACCAAAGAGCTTCTTTAATTGTAAACCTCTCGTCGTTGGATAAATCGTTACAGATTTTGCAAGTAGATCGCACTGCTTTCATAGATCCAAGCGGAACCCTAGAGAGTATATCCTCCAACAATTCCCTTGGAAGATCCAACATGTTCGTCATTGTTCGAGGACGGATCGATGTAATAGTATTTAGGGTTTCTACTCGACCTTCGAATACTCTCTTCCTTTATAATGGAGTTTTTGATTATGCTTGATATATTACAAGATCTTTTCTCATTGTTTTTAGTAAGTTTTCTTTTAAATTTCTTCTTCTTTCTTAAATTGTCCTTCTACACTAGAAACAGTCCAGATTTTTTTAGGAAATCACAATATTAACTACAATAATTTTAAGAAAATCATTTTTACTAAATTAAAACATAAGTAGTTTTTTGAAAATTTTATTTTCTCATAAAACTTAGTGTCATATTATATTTCTAAAAAAATTGAACAAAAAAGTAAGTGTGAACACCATAGTAATTTTAGAATCATAGTACAAAAAGAGGAGTTAAATAAACCATAGTCGCTATACAAAAAATAAGGCCAAAAAGTTAGTTCACTTTGATAGAACCAAGCATCGCTCATATAATGTTCAGATTACGGGCTACAAGATTGGATATTCGATCGCTCATGTGTGGTATTCCTAAGCTAGCAAAATACCAAAACATACTTATACCCTTGTAAAGGAAGTTAAAGAAGAATACATGCATGGGTAATATATCTCTTCTAGTGATTTTTAAAATTTATAATCAACAAATGCATGTTCGGTATTGAAAATTGTCTACGCGTTTAACGAGCATTGAATAATCTAAACTTGACCAAAAATTCAATTAAAAACAATGTTTTAACTGCTTGAGAGAATAGTAAAACCACGGCCAAAACTATTTATGTTCACCAAGTATAAACAAAACCTATGGCTCTTTTGACAACTTCAAAGACTCTATATATATATCACTACAAGAAAACTAAGCTGTTTCTGACGGACAGTATGGTCGGAAATCCGTCGGAAACACCTGTTTCGGACGGATTTCCGACCATACTGTCCGTCGGTTACAGGTGGTCGGAAATGAGAGATCGGTCGGAAATTCGTCGAAAATTTTCCGACAGATTTTCGACCGATACGTGTCGTTGCAAATGCCGTCGGAAAATTCCGACCGGCAATACCGTCGGAAATTTCCGACCGGTCTTATCCGTCGGAAATTTNCGACCGTCTTATCCGTCGNAAATTTCCGACNGTAATGTCCGTCGGAAATTTCCGACCGTTTTCCTACGGATTTGCTATTTTTGTAAAAA